CTTATAGCTTTTACATTTAATCTATAGTTTTACAATACAAAAGAGTTTTGATAAACTAAAGACCATTCTTTTGTTTGAGAAAGTGATTGGTCTAGAGTTAACTAATAAAACCATAATCTTTATAATAATGCTGAACTTAATAGTAGTGCCCTTTTTGGCACTACTATTATATTCAGCATTATTATAAAGATTCTTGGCAGCCATGTAATCGAGGTAATGACGAGGAAGAATTTAAGCACTTTTTTTTTATAAGAAAATGCGAACAAAAGAGTATACAAATATCTCAAACTAAGTTCAAACCTCTTGAAACAATAAACTTTGTCAGTGTCTTATTTCAATCAAATAAAGCTTATGAAGACCCTTATTAAGGGTCTCACAAGAATGAAGATTATGAAAAAGGGTCTTGTAATAAATAACTTTAACTAAGTAATGTTAAAACATATATCAAGTTTTATAGTTTTACATTAACATTGCATTGCGGTAGCATCTCTTTAATTTTGATCTATAACATTTATTACCAATTTATAAAGTCTTTTGTTTGTGAAGGAGTTTTACAATCTTCCTCGGCCATCACGCCTGTGTTTCTGAGCGGATAGCTCGCAGAATTTGTGAAGCAAAGTGTCGTGTTTCGAATCTTTCCGCTGCACAGTGGGGTATTTGATTGATATAGGCGGCCAAAACTCACTTCCAAAATAAATTAAAAAAGCTTTTTTAGCAATGCTGAATGGTTAGTGAATATTATAAACGTTAAGTAACCGCAAATGGTTTTAACAACAAGCGGTAGGATATATACAAAGTTGATCATTAATTATTGTCTACGCGTTTTTCTTTTGGTCGCCTATTTTCTAAGCATTTATCAGCATCAAATAAAGTTTAATCAAAATATATTTCAAAGTGTTTGTGATGAATTCTAATAAATTTGGTAAAGGTAAATACATTTGAAAAGTTTTAATTTATTTGTGATTATATATAAATCTGTTGGTTTTGTTAAGCTCTTTTCTTTCTCTTGTTTTTTGCAATTTTCACTGCAAACTATTAGAAATAAGTAATACTTCCAGGCATTTCCAGGTTGATGTTTTTTTATTAAAAAATAGGCTAAAGTTTTGGCTTCAATGATATGTAAAAATCACCTGCCATTTTTTGCAGGTTCATCAAGGGGTACTGCAGTACTGCATCAAGGGGGTAGGCCAACAAAGAACTTTAAAGAATTAAGCGAGAGAAGCAAAAGAAGAAAAGCAGAAAACATAAATTCACAAATTCAGAAACTTTGATTTGTGCTCCTCAGGTGGAGTTAGGTTTTATAGGAAAAAGAACTGCTTTAAAAATGTTAAAAGACATTATCCACTCCCCGAAGCGGGCAAAAATGTATTAGATAGCATACTCTAGCGTTTTACAGGAAAAAAAATTACAGCTATTGGTATTAAGTGCACTGGCCATTAACAATTTCATATTGTCTTCTGGAAAGACCAGCTGGTCTTTCCAGAAGACAATATGAAATTGTTAGAAGTTCTTGTAAAACATTATATCCTTGCTATAGTATCCGGCAAAAAGCAAAAGTAGATTGTTATTCAAATAAGGAATCTTACTATGTCACTAAAACTTGTATTGCAGTCAATTTATTGGACCATACCATTAGACAAAATTTAAATGAAAAAGAAAGAAGTTCAATAATATTAAATTGTAAATGGGGTTGTGACGGATCACAGCAAAATCAATATAAACAGAAATTTCTGAATGACGCCGATTCTAATGCAAGTATATTTCAGACTTCTTTTATACCGCTTCAATTAATTTGTACTGAAAACAACAGATTAATCTGGCAAAATTCAACTCCTTCTTCGCCACGTTATTGTCGCCCTATAAGAATTAGATTTGTCAAAAAGTCTAATGATATAACAAATGAAGAGATAAAACTTATTGAAAATTCAATTATCTCTTTGCATGATACAAAATTGACAGTGGGTGGAAATTTATTTTCAGTTAAACATAATATGATGCTCACTATGATTGATGCTAAAGTGTGTAACGCAGCCACTAAAATAGCTTCAACTATGAGATGCTATATTTGTGTTGCGACATCAAAAGATTTTAATAATTTGACTATTGAAAAAGATGTCAAACCAGATACACTGAAGTTTAGGTTATCAATTTTGCATGCCAGGATCCGAATATTTGAAAATTTATTGAATATATTTTATAAATTGCCTATTAAAAAATGGCAAGCGAGATCAGAAAATAAAAAATTAATTGTCAAACAAAAAAAACTAGAAATACAATCAAATTTTAGAAAAAAATAGGTTTAATTGTAGACGTACCTAAGCCTGGATTTGGTAACTGAAATAATGGCAACACTAGCCGACAATTTTTTGCAGACCCAGAGTTGGCAGCTGAAATATTGTGTACAGATTATAACCTAATATATCGCTTTAAAGTAATATTAAAAACAATATCTAGTGAACATTAAAATAGATGTCGAAAAATTAGGAAGATATACTGTAAAACTGCGGAATTATATGTCCAGTTATACCAATGGTATCCGATGACCCCTACAATGCATAAAACCCTTATTTATGATTTTATTGTAAAAGAGCATGCTTTGCTTCCTATTGGTCAGCTATCTGAAGAAGCAGCTGAAGCACGAAATATATATTTTCGTCAATACCTTCAAAACAATGCTAAAAAGTTTTCCAGAGTGTCTTTCAACCTCGACGTTCTTAATAGATTACTAATTAGCTCAGATTCTATTTTAACTGGCATGAGAAAATTACCAAGAAAAAAAAACTAAACCATTCTTAAAAGAAACCTTGGAGATGCTACTTCCAGCTGAACTTTCTAATTTTACTGATATTGTTGAATATATATAAGAGAAATCTTCAGAGCAATTAGAGATGTCTTCTGATGAAGACCTTTAGCTTTTGGCAGCATCCTTTTAATAGTAGTTATTTAGAGTTAAAATATTATTAGCTGTAAAAAAATTTTTTTAGTATTTACCATAGCTTAATAAGAGTTATATAGCTATTGCAAGTGCTTCCGAATACATTAAGATAACACAAATCGCGATGTTTTGACTTTTAATTACGAGTGAAAGTTAAAAAAGTTATCCACCATATATAATAGGTTTATACCATGATAAGAACCATATAAAGTAGGTTCTTATTATTTTTATGCTAATGTAAAGTTTAAAAATAAAAATAGCTGTGGAGAGGGGGGGGTCTATCATCCATAAACTTTTTTAAAGTTTTTTATTTCCTCTTATTATTAGGCTTTTCTACCAGCTTTTCCTAAAAAAATTTAAACCTTTTCAATCAGAGATTATAAAATATTTTTGGCCGCCTAAATCAATCAAATACCCCACTGTGCGCTGAAACCGTTTTTTATTTTTATTTATTTTATATTTTTCTAAAATACATAATAAAGCGCTTATAAAGTTTTAGAGATTTTATATGCATGACATATGTATGCATACATAAATATGTATGATTTTATATACATGACATATGTATGCATACATAAATATGTATGATTTTATATACATGACATATGTATGCATACATAAATATGTATGATTTTATATACATGACATATGTATGCATACATAAATATGTATGATTTTATATACATGACATATGTATGCATACATAAATATGTATGATTTTATATACATGACATATGTATGCATACATTTTGTATGATTTTATATACATGACATATGCATGCATACATAAATATGTATGATTTTATATACATGACATATGTATGCATACATAAATATGTATGATTTTATATACATGACATATGTATGCATACATAAATATGTATGATTTTATATACATGACATATGTATGCATACATAAATATGTATGATTTTATATACATGACATATGTATGCATACATAAATATGTATGATTTTATATACATGACATATATATACACTGTAAGAAACGAAAACGAGAGAACTATTAAAATAGCCTAAATTTTCAAAAAACATCACAACACCGGATGAAATTTGTTGCGCATATGTTAAGTTATGTTTTTTATGATTTATGATATTAGTATACTCAAAATAGCAGTGGTGGGTTTTAGGAGGGGGTTGGGGGAGGGGGAAGGCATGAAGATAGTAACCCCCCTTCCTTGGGCTTTTTTTTTAAAAAAATTTCTCTTTTGTAAATTGACTATTGTACAGAATACTGACGAATAAAATTTAATATTATAGGTAAATAAACGTATATGAACTTGATTATTACACTAAAGTACAAAAAGTTAGAAAAGAAAGTCATTTCTAAATGAAAAAATGCGCACCTTTTTTTTTTTTAGACCATTCTAGCCCCTCCTTGGCGAGTTGCAAAACCCGCCCCTGCAAGATAGTTGTGTTATTAATATGTTTAGGTAGTTAGATTAGGACTGATGAATAATTAGGTAGTTAGATTAGGACTGATGAATAATTAGGATTGTTGCGGATGGTCTGAAAAAAAGTTATGGTCTGAAACTTGATAAAAAAAAAATTTAAGCCCATCCTGCTACTCCAGTAGGTGCTATTGTAAAAGTAAAAAAAAAAAAAGCAACTACCATTTATCGTAGAGATAGTTATGTTAAGTATTTACGAAATCAATAAAGTTAATCTGCGCACCAAGGACATTAAAAAGACATTTTTTTTTTTCAAAGAAGAAAGATGTTTTTGTTCAATTGAGACTTTTTCAGATATAATTAATTGGGGTAAGAGTTCTATGAGGTCTAACTATGCAAATAAATTGTGGAATAACTAATAATAACGAATAAACTTAATTTTTTAGCCCTAAGAGCAAGATTTAAAAGAATTATTTTTCTACAATTTATTCAAAAAACATTAGAGTAAAGAAATAGAGGATAGATAAATAGCTGAATAAGTATAAAAATCTATTTTTATAGGGTAGGTATGAAATAAACACCCTAGACACGTATTTTACGGGTCTCGACAGCTAGTTAAAATTAATAGTCAAAAACTGTATCATATTAAAACATATTTTATAACTTTATTTTAATTCAAAATAATAATAATAAATAAATAAATGTAATCACGCAATATAAATAAATCACGTCATTTCTTTATTGATTTCGCTGATGTAGTTATCCCATTGTAAATCTATGGGCTGTGTCTGATTTCTAGAAGAAAAAATATATAAAAATTAGATATTTGCTTGAAAAAAAATTAGAATTTTACTTTAATTTAAACTATTATTTAAGGAGTGAATTTTCAAAAGGTGCTAAGTTGCAAAAATAAAAATTTAAATTAGTTCAATTTCCAATTTTATATCTATTTATTATTAATATTATTAATCTATTATTATATTAATATATCATCAATTTAAATATTAGCTCTAACAATATACTCTTCATCCTAATATTAGATTGAAAAAGTATCAATTTTTGTAGATGTGCGCCTATAAGTTTTTCTTCGTCGATTTACCAAAATCAGTTTCCTCAGACTCTGCACCTTTTGAAAATTTCACATTTACTTTCTAGTTTAACTGTATTAAAAATTTTGTAGAAACGCTATAAGGTCTTTTTTTCGCAAATAGAGTAAAAAATAAATAATAAAAAAACCCACCACTATCTTTCAAAATGCAAAATAACAATTACCGGCACGATTGAATTGAATCAAGTCTGAGTCTTTCTATTTCACGAGTTAATGCTTTTTGTGAATCAACTAATTGTTTTTCGCGAACTAAATACGATGAAACCTGCACACACAAAAAAATTCAATAAACTTAATTAAAATTTTCTTATATTTTAAAACATTCAAGTATTAACATTCGCGCTTTATTTAGGGTTCAATAGACTCCCCAGTGGGCACGCGTCGTCCGGAGAACGTCCTCCGGACGACGCATATCCACTGGGTCGTTGCACTTTTTTTAAATATTTATAACGCCTAATAACCTTTAGTTGACCTAATATAGCTTGTGGTACGAATTAAATATTTAAAGACTTCCACCTGTTTGTGATCTCAACCACGTCACCCTACTTGTTGCGCTGAAAAATTTTTTGCAAAGGAACTGTACGATGTGGAATTGTGTGAGTTTCTAAGCTTGTTAATCTGTTTGATTATATATGAATTACATTGTTTAAAGCATTTTCCGTTGTATATAAAAAATAAACTTGTTACAAGCTTAAATGAGAAAGTAACAAAAAACTTTCTCATTTAAGCTTAAGACTTTTTTTTTTGAATACATCTATCTCTGTCATGATCCCGAATAGATTTATCTTCCCCATGATCCAGAATGCCACTAGTAAAGTAGAATGCTTGTTGATTTTGTAACACCGTTTATGAAGCAAGCAGTCTACCACTGCACAACTACTGCGACAACGAAATATAAGGTATGGCTACTGAGATATTTTTCAAGTATGATTACTAAGATATTTTTAAAGTATAGTTAACGATATGAGTTTACAAAAATTGTTCAGATCAAAAGGTCTGAGCTCGAGACCTTTTTTTCAAAAAACTTTTAAGATTTGATATATAAGGCATGATAAAATATATCAGATATTTTTAAAACAAATTACTTATGTAATTAAATTAAATTCATTTAAAAAAATATTTTTTCACCTTTGTATATATACTTAATATATGAAAGTGGAAAATACGAACAAACAATGATCTTGTTTTTTTAAACCTTGCTGTTAAATTACCCTTTTCTTAAAACAATTTGCAAAATGATCGTCAAGTTACGAACATTCGACCTTATAAAACTTGCCCAAAAGTGGCGTTGAACCACGGATCTGTAGTCTCTGAGGCAAGCGCGCTAACCATTGAGCTACGGCTGCTGTGTACATTGTGTAAAATCCACCAACTTTATTATGAACACCAAAATTTCTTATTAAATTTTATAGTTATTTAAAGTTTGAATCATATTTCAATGGTGTGAAGAGAAAAGTACATACTATGCCTAATGTAGTTGGCGTACCGGAATAGAAATCAAGCGCAGTCGACTTGCGTAAAAACATGTAATTTGTTTACAGAGGATTGTGGGATGCCCTGGTAGTATAACATTTAAGAACAAATAAATACGTTGTTTTCAATATCCAAATGCTGTCAGTAATTGATTGCTCTTAAATTATTGTGTAAACTATTTACAGAACTGATTTATTTTTTTTATAATATTTTGAAATTACTTTAAAAAATTCCCGATTAGAATTATAGGTTTCTTATTTAACATTTTTCAAAAGAGCAGCAATATTACAGTGTAATATTAAATATATATCATGTTTTTATAAAGCTTATCAGTTCATAATAATTAGTGAATTTGAAAATCTTCAAATAAACTTGATAAAATAACTTGCTATGTAATAATTACATATCAAATTATCAATTCAAGTTTAAACACACACACACACACATACACTCATATGTGTGCATGTATATATATATATATATATATATATATATATATATATATATATATATATATATATATATAATATATATATATACATATATACATATATATATATATATATATATATATATATATATATATATATATATATATATATATATATATATATATATATATATATATATATATATATATATATATATATATATATATATGTATATATATATATATATATATATATATATATATATATATATATATATATATATATATATATATATATATATATATATATATATATATATATATATATATATATATATATATATATATATATATATATATATATATATGTATATACATACATACATACATTACATATATACATATGTATGTATGTATGTATGTATGTATGTATGTATGTATGTATGTATGTATGTATATACTCACACGCACATTAACTCATAAAATTAAAACTGATTATACAAAGAAAAACATAAAGTCATTATTTAATAATTATAATAATAATTATAGATCATGTACAGCCAAATAAAAGAAAAAAAAATTCCTGTTCTGACAAATATGCAAATTTTTTTTATTGTAAGAAAAAAGCATGTTAAAAGCAATCTTTAAATAAAATATCAAAAGTACAGAATTCCATGATTTTAAATAACTTCTAAAAGCTAAATTGTTAAAAAAGAATATGACAAATCAATGATATAAGTAAAGATTTTAAATTTTATAAGTAAATAATTTTGGCGGTTTATTTTCTTATTGGTCTCTAAACCATGTCTAATATCCATCGCTTCACCACAAAGTATTACCACACACTGTTGACACAATCAGACACCTTTTTTAACAAGGTGGCAAAGTCTGCAAGCTTTGTACAATAGTTTTCTTTATAAAAATTGTAACAGTAAACCTGTTGAATTGATTTTTTTTTTTGTCAGTAAAAAATAAACAACCTTGTTTGGTTAGTTTTTTAAGAGTAAATGTATGAATAAAGCATTTATATGAAGTGCAACGCTAAAATCTATTTCTATAAGACAATTGTTTTTAAAGCTGCTAGTTTCTAATGACAACAACAACAAAACATTCAGGTAAGCTAATCCAAATTGTTTGAAAATCTGTCATTTCAACCTTCTTTGTTCTGAATAGTTCCAATCAAACTTTCTAAATAATTTAGCTTGAAGTGAGAAAATACCGCTAAACTTTTTTTAGAGAAAAGCTCCTGATACAATTTCAGTATACTAGTTATTGTAAAATTTATTCTCTAATGAGATAGGGGTTTTAAAACACTCATTTCTTAATTCGAAGTTGAAATACTCTCAACAGTAACATGTTATTTTCTATTGCTGTTACATCACATCGAGCAGATTTATCAGCATGAAAAAAGAGTATTATTTTTATCAACAAATTAGTTGGTCGATAAGAAGTCCGTATAATCGTTGACAGTAATATGTAATTTAAAAAATGTTCCAAGAATTTAGGCGCAAGACGGATAGAACTGCATTTGTTTTTCTATTTTATACAGCGTCTGATGCTATGAGACTAAATTTAAAACTTGCTATGAGAATAAATTTAAAAATGTCATTATGGAGAAGGCATTTTACCTGCTTGTTAGATAAAAATTGAACATTTAAAACGATTGATGCACAAACAATAATCATTGTTTAGAGTTTCAATAAGTTTTTCATGATGATCTCCTCTTACACCTATAGAAATAAAAACAATATACAACTTTCATATTTGAATAGTAAGTTAATCATTGAAATAACTTAATAATTTTCATTAGCAATTCCACTCGTATTTGCGCAGTTTGTTGCAGCAAAATATAAATGCATTTTTGAACAACGAAGAGTATTATTTATTAAAGAATAAAATATAAAACAGAAAATTTGCAGAGTTTCAGCCAAGTTTGGCTGAAACTCTGCAAATTTTCTATACCAGGACATCCCACAATGCCTTGCACATACGATTACACTTTAAAGTATATAAGTATAAAAGAGTCGACAGCGCTTGATAGAAATTCCAGATTCGCCGGAAAGCAACTTTTTTTGCATTAGAATATTCCTAAACTTCCAGAAATCCTTACATAATTGGTTATTGCAAATAAAATTACATTGCATTTGTTTAGAAATGACGTTTTCTCTAGATTAATGTTAACACATGGTCTAAATTTGAAGAAATCATGCGATATTTGAATTTTGATATTTGATACGTGGCGTCAAGATGTTAGAGGCGCCAAAAGACGAAGAACTACCATATATTAAAAATATATATTTTGTGGGTATTTCTTTTTAGTGTTTACACTCTATACTAGTGTTTTCTCTAGATTAATGTTAACACATGGTCTAAATTTGAAGAAATCATGCGATATTTGAATTTTGATATTTGATACGTGGCGTCAAGATGTTAGAGGCGCCAAAAGGCGAAGAACTACCATATATTAAAAATATATATTTTGTGGGTATTTCTTTTTAGTGTTTACACTCTATACTAGTGTTAAACTCTTTAATGAGCCTTGTTGCCAGTCAGCAACAAAATATTAAAACTATTTGAAAATTTGTTATTTTCCGTGATTTTATATGACATTTTCACCCTCTAGTAACGCCACTGGAAAGCTGCGACTGTTTTTCAGTTTTTAAAATGTTTTTATAATTTGTACACAACATTAAACTACATTTTGAAAAGTATTGTTTGATTATATTATTTACCTAAAAAACAAAATGTTGAAAAAAATACTGCTGCAAAAACGTGTGACTTTACCTTTAACTTACCATATAAGACTTATAATAATTATTTTTATCTGGTGATGAAGATTTTAATTTTACTTTTATAACAATTTAAAAAATAGAGCACAATTACAAAAATATAAAAAATAGAATAAAGCAAACAGAATTACAAAAATATAAAAAATAGAATAAAGCAAACAGAATTACAAAAATATAAAAAATAGAATAAAGCAAACAAAATTACAAAAATATAAAAAATAGAATAAAGCAAACAGAATTACAAAAATATAAAAAATAGAATAGAGCGAACACAATTACAAAAATATAAAAAAAAGAATAGAGCGAACACAATTACAAAAATATAAAAAATAGAATAAAGCAAACAGAATTACAAAAATAGCGTAAAGCAAGCACAATTCATGAGAGAAAAGGTGACACATATTAGTACAGAACATGTATTAATATTTATTTATCTTTTTTATTATATATCTATTTAATATTTTCTTGATAAATTAGAGAGCAATAGAGCTAATACAAGCTTGAGTATAATTTACAAAAATACGCATGCTATGTCTGAAATTTTTGCAAAAATACGCATGCTATGTCTGAAAT